TTGTGTTTCATGAAACAGTCCAACATAACCTTTCACTACTGGTAATTGGACTGTTTCATGAAACACAACACTAACAGTGAAAGGTTATATTGGATTGTTTCATGAAACACAACACAAACAGTGAAATGTTATGTTGGACTGTTTCATGAAACACAATACCAGTAGTGAAAGGTTATGTTGGACTGTTTCATGAAACACAATACCAGTAGTGAAAGGTTATGTTGGACTGTTTCATGAAACACAATACCATTCTGTAACCAGTCATATTATTATGTTAGTAAGTATAGGTTTGATAACATACCATTCTGTAACCAATGACATTATTATGTTAGTAAGTATAGGCATGATAATTTACCATTCTGTAACCAGTGATATTATTATGTTAGTAAGTATAGGCTTGATAACATACCATTCTGTAACCAGTGATATCATTATGTTAGTAAGTATAGGCATGATAATGTATCATTCTGTAACCAGTCATATTATTATGTTAGTAAGTATAGGCATGATAATGTACCATTCTGTAACCAGTAATATTATGTTAGTAAGTATAGGCTTGATAACATACCATTCTGTAACCAGTGATATTATTATATTAGTAAGTACAGGTAGGTTAACATACCATTCTGTAAACAGTGATACTATTATGTTAGTAAGTACGGGTAGGATAATGTACCATTCTGTAACCAGTGATATTATTATGTTAGTAAGTACAGGTAGGATAACGTACCATTCTATAACCAGTGATATTATTATGTTAGTAAGTACGGGTAGGATAACGTACCATTCTTTAACCAGTGATATTATTATGTTAGTAAGTACAGGTAGGATAACGTACCATTCTGTAACCAGTGATAATAAGCTGGGTTTGTTAGGTTGGATACAACTTCTCACCTTAAATGTAGAAATCAACTTCTCCACATTATGTTCACTGAAACAAGGCAGTTCTTTCACATTCTTTATCTTGGCCATCAGCCACTGAGAGTTGGAATGTAGTAAAGGCTGCAACTGCTGCCAACCAATTACTGCTTTTTCCAAGGAATGTCCATGCTCTGTTGCTTTCTCTAACACTTGTTTTGCATGTCCAGTGACTGCTTTGTAAAGTGATAAAATCCTGTTCTGAAGGGAACTGTCAAGATGGTCAAACATAAATTCAACAGTACTCAGTAGGAGATGGACTTGCCTGAAGAAAGCCTATGTATATACGATAAATAAAACTTTAGTGTATAACTTTATTGAAAACAAAACAACTTAAGCAAGATTGGCACTCATTTATACATGAAGATCATGCAAGTTAGGTATCAGCTTATACTTAAAACTTCAGTGATAGATTTTTCATAGAAAACCACCTGTAGGTAAAGTAGTATTGTTTCACAACACGCAACATCAGCAGGAAAAGGTTATGTTGGTCTGTTTCATGAAACACCAACAGTGAAAGGTTATGTTGGATATTTTCACAGAACACCAGCAAGAAAAGGGTATGTTGGACTGCTTCACAAAACACAACACAAACAGTGAAAGGTTATAGCTCTAGATGGCTTTAAGTTTGTATAGAATGTTCTAGATGACTAAGTTTTTGTAGAATGTTCTAGATGACTAAGTTTGTATAGAATGTTCTAGATGACTGTATGTTTGTATAGAATGTTCTAGATGACTTTAAGTTTATATAGAATGATCTAGATGACTTTAAGTTTATATAGAATGCTCTAGATGACTTTAAGTTTGTATAGAATTTTCTAGATGACTGTATGTTTGTAAAGCATTTTCTAGATGACTGTAAGTTTCTACAGAATGTTCTAGATGACTTTAAGATTCAATAGAATGTTCTAGATGACTTTACGTTTGTATAGAATGTTCTAGATGGCTTTAAGTTTGTATAGAATGTTCTAGATGGCTTTAAGTTTGTATAGAATGTTCTAGATCTCTGTAAGTTTGTATAGAATGTTCTAGATCTCTGTAAGTTTGTATAGAATGTTCTAGATCTCTGTAAGTTTGTGTAGAATGTATAGAATTTTTAGAATATTCTAGATGACTTTCAGTTTGTATAGAATGTTCTAGATCTCTGTAAGTTTGTATAGAATGTATAGAATTTTTAGAATATTCTAGATGACTTTCAGTTTGTATAGAATGTTCTAGATGACTAAGTTTGTATAGAATGTATAGAATTTTTAGAATATTCTAGATGACTTTCAGTTTCTACAGAATGTTCTAGATGACTCTAAGTTTGTACAGAATGTTCTAATTGACTTTACTGATAATGTACCATTCTGTAACCAATGACATTATTATGTTAGTAAGTATAGGCATGATAATTTACCATTCTGTAACCAGTGATATTATTATGTTAGTAAGTATAGGCATGATAACGATTCTATACAAAGTTACAGTCATCTAGAACATTCTATACAAACTTAAAGTCATCTAGAACATTCTATACAAACGTAAGGTCATCTAGAACATTCTATACAAACGTAAAGTCATCTAGAACATTCTATACAATCTTAAAGTCATCTAGAACATTCTATACAAACTTAGTCATCTAGAACATTCTACAAAAACTTAGTCATCTAGAACATTCTATACAAACTTAAAGCCATCTAGAACATTCTATACAAAGTTACAGTCATCTAGAACATTCTATACATACTTAAAGTAATCTAGAACATTCTTTCCAAAGTTACAGTCATCTAGAAAATTCTATACAAACAATGTCATCTAGAACATTCTATACAAACTTAAGGTCATCTAGAATATTCTGTACAAACTTACAGTCATCTAGAAAATGCTTGACAAACTTAATGTCATCTAGAACATTCTATACAAACTTAAAGCCATCTAGAACATTCTATACAAACGTAAAGTCATCTAGAACATTCTATACAAATGTAAAGTCATCTAGACATTCTATACAATCTTAAAGTCATCTAGAACATTCTATACAAACTTAGTCATCTAGAACATTCTATACAAACTTAAAGCCATCTAGAAC